AGCTAGCTTAGCTCAATTGTCTGAACAACAATAACCCATAAATTCACAATTTGGCATATTTAAACAAAATCAAATCACAACTACCAACAGTCACAGTCCTTAAACTCTGAGCTCATATGTTGTCACATGTTAGATCATCAAAGTTAGAAGAATAACAGGATCAATCCCTGACAAGCTATGATAGCATTATTGGAATTGTTAAATTCACTAACGTTGTAACATTCCATAAAATAATGTGACGAAGCACAATACAAGATGGCTAGTCCACCCCTGTTTATAATCCGTGAGGTTAGATACCCCTCCTACTTTGTCCAATCGACGAGCGCCCCTTTCAACCACGTGATGCTGCTCGGAAAGTATGGTGCGCTTTAGAAATCACAGTGTGAAAGCGGAACTGAAACAAGTGATAAATGCAACAATGTTGTGACTTTCAGCTCCCCAATCAAACCGAGTCTGCTTGGTCAGGTGTGAAAGCGACCTTAGTCACAATAAAGGATGCATTTCACTTTTGAAAATCAGCAGAATAAGTATTTTTCTGTCTAAAATCACACTTTAATCATGTGGAGGACAACACAAATTAAGATTCCTTTGTCCACAGAGGGCATCATAATTGACCCAAGCAGAGTTCCTAACAGAAGTTTTAAGCAGTGGTAACCTTCGATCATTGGTGATTACACTTGAGTATAGATCCCATCATTACTAAGAAAAAAAATACTTATCAAGTTCCTTCCAAGGCCATCAAGAGCAAAACTAGTTTTTAAAAGTTAATATTGAAACTCAGTTCCAGTGGGGTATCTAATCTGATGTCCAGAGTAATAAACATTTGTATTCCTGTGAGTGTATTTTTGTCTGAGAAACTGCAGCCACACCAGAAAAATAAAATCATCAAGTTTATTTCTAATTAGGCAGCCATGTTGGTGCAAATAAATATTTACTGAAATATGTGTATTTAACAGACCTCTGAAGTTTACTCACCAAATGGGAAATCTGTCCACATTTGCTGCTTGGCGGGGGTAAAAATCAGATCCAGTAATATTCTTGTTTATTCTTTTAATACTTTTTAAAAAATATAATGTGTAAGATCTATTTTAAAACAAAAAATATATATATTTTTGATGTTGCCTCTGTACATGTTGAAAAAAAAGAAATATAAACAAGCGTGGACTATCCATGCCCACTTTAGAATGTGCAACAATTCTTCAATCCCTAAACTAAAAGACTGGACAAGGCAGAGAATTACCCATTTTTTTAATTTTTGATACCTTGAAACTGCTGTGAGAGGGTGTGTGTCAGACCAGACTGTTGACAGGGGACTGAAGAAACAACTGTCTTTAAATGTTTTCACAGCAAATACCAAACAATAAAAGTGAACCTCACGTTTACTGCTCAAAAACAACAAGATGAGGTTTGTGTCTGAAAACATGATTTCTACATGTACAGAACTGGAAATGTGAGCCATCACTTTGTCCACAGATGGCGCCAAAACTGAAGCAACGTAAAAACTGCAAACAGCAGCTTTGAGATACAACATTAGAACAAATTATGCAAAAAGTATTCAGAAACAAACTTTCAAATTATAATAAAATAATAAGAGTGAACAAATAGAAACATTAGTCCTGTCTTTTAATCATTCTGTCAAAAGATATAGATGTATTCATACTAAAAAAAGAGGTAAGATAGAATTCTTTCATGATTAATTATTTCATTGAATGAAAAAGGTTATTTTCGAATATCAAATTAAAACTATCAAAAAATCTATTAATGTCACAGAGCTGCTGAAGCTTGTTGCAACAAAACCCATAAAGTTTGTTTGACAGTGGCCAATCTGGGGCCTGTGGCACCCCAGGCCACCCCATGAACACACTCCTGATTTCTCCAGCTCTGGCTGTTTGTACCTGCACCATTACACATTTCCAGTTATAAACCTGTTTGTGTGTGCACTGTTGGATCGTAATTTTGTTGAACATGTGTGGTGTGTCTCCTCAGCACTCTCTCAGATACAGATGGTTTCTTGATGAAATAATAAAATGACATGAGCATGCATCTGTAAGAAAAGAGTCAGGTAAGCTGGGCAGACTGCTGAGGTACCCATGAGCAGGAGAGTAAAGGTGTGATTCCCCCGTGAACAGCATCAGTAGTTACATCTGTGGGAGAGGAGGGGAAATATAACAGGCCTCATTCAGATGACAAAGAGGGGGCAGACAATGGGTGTAGCAGCATTATTTCAACTCCCCTCTGACAGTGTTCTAATTTAATGAGGCACACTGTGAGCGCCTGGGTAAGTCTCTCTCACTTTGTCTGGAGGAAGGTCAACCTGCAAACACAAGGGCACGCAGAGGAAACAACAACACAACAAAGCCCGGCCTTGTAAAGCAAAAATGAGAAAGTCCGATTACAAACCACCAACAGAGCAAACAAGAAAAGCCGCGCTGGCAGCCCAATATCCCCATAATTAAGCTGTAATAGCAGACATGGTGTAAACAATGTGTGTTGTGCAAAGAATGGTAATAGCATTTTACTGAAGCTGAGATCCAGCCAGGTTATTAAACGGTGTTGCTCACCTCCCCTGATGTGCTAAAGTGTGACACTGCAAACACGGCTATCATACTCACAGCAACGACAGCCAAGCAACAACAACAACAACAATCTCTTCCAAACAAACGCACGCACACACAGACTTAGGGAGACTGTAACTCCAGTCTCTTGGCTTCACCATGTCCTTCCTCCCTCCATCTGTCTGTCACCACAGACACACACACGCCATTCCAGGCAGCAGTCGCTTGGCAACATGGCTCAGCCTCTGAACATATTTCCCAGTTCGGGTAAGATATACACTTTCAGCTCCAGTGTTATTTCATTAGAAGAGAGCATGTGGGTTTGTGTTTCTGCATCTCTGTCTCCAGCCACCTGCTTTTATTGGAGCCTGCCCCCGGAGTGTGTGCAGGGGGAATATTAAAAAGACGAGTGCCGTTGAATGGGATATTATAACATAATTAGCAGGGGTTCCGGGCTGGCACACCGCATGAAAACAGATGGCCTGCTAATTCTATTAGCAGGGCAGAATGACCGTGTAGCTTTTAACACGGGTAGAGTGCTGTGACCTTCAAGCCCTTGCAAGTGACCTGGTGCACAGCCCTTAAAACTATTACCGGATACTTAAACTGACCACAGACACCACATATTAGGCTATTTTTTACCTGCAGCAGACAGCATAGCAAGGAAGGGTCCTGTATTATTCCATTTCTTGTCTCAATATGAATTATAGGGAGGCTTAAATAGGAAAATACATTAAACATTCATGTATTGAATACATCTCAGTCCTTCAAAGCAACATCACAATAATGGACCTGGGCTGGCTGTCAATAGGCCTTTTTCATAGCCAACAATATGAGCTGTCATTATTGAGAAAGTGAAGGATTCTATTAATAGTGTAAGTAATTGCTTCATCTTATTCAAGTGTCCAAACAATGACAGTGTGACAGTGAGCCATTACGCTTAAACCAGTATCCATCTTTAATCTAATTATTTACACCTTTGCTTTCTCTCCTCGAAATGCCAAAATGTCAAATTTTATGACTCAGATAAGTTGCTAAATGTAGCCTCGAGCAGTCAGCTGAGGTTCAGAGAAGATTAAGTATGGAGCGGCTGAAAAGGTATTTTTTGAATGCATTGGTGTTTTGAAGTGTTTTTAGTAGAGCAGTCACAACAAAGGACTCGGATGACAAAAGCCTTTTGTAACAGAGGTTGATCATAGCTTTGCTCCACTACTTACTGCAACTTAAATAATTCATTTCTAGTTCAAGCCAATTATCAGTCAATCACCTGGCCTCCCTCAGAGAAGAAGTGGTGTGAGAAACTTCTTGACATTGCTGTCCTGGAAGAAGTACTCTAACCTTTAACTTAGAGCCTCTGATTTAAACTCTTGATTTGTGTAAGTTTTGTTGTCCTCTGTAGACAAAGCAGCATGCCTTACTTTGTCCTGTATGACAGAAATGGGGTGTTCTCAGTAAGCGCGAGTAAAATCATTTGTGCAAATGAATTACATGTTAAGTCAATGCAAAGACGCAATTACACGCTCATACTACTCTGGCGTCATGAATGACACGAATTGGGCGGTGCGAATGGTGCAAATTAAGCAAGTTATTTGCCTGAATTGCGCAGACGTGGATTCGTGAGAGTTGAAAATATATCAACTTGAGTGGATATTCACATCATGATAACCAATCAGCATGAAGATTCCGGGGTGACAAATGAAAACAGACCAGAAGATGTTTTAACTGGTGTGAAAATATATACACAAATCCTTTTACTCACAGTAGACAGATGGACAGGCACTCTGCAACTGGGATAGAGCGCCTGTAACTGCTATCCTGGAGGGATATCCGGGCACCGACCCCCACCAACAGGTCGTCAAATTGGGTAACCTGAAAAAAAACAGAAACTCGAATGAAGCGAGTGAATACTTTTCATTCACGTGTCTAGGTTTGCGCCAATTAAACAAGTAGATGATTTTACTTGCGCTTGGTGTGAACACCCCATAATCGTGTCAGCTTCATGTTATTCACTCTGTCTGAGACCTTCCTCCCCCCTGGCAGGAAGACATCAAAAACACAATAAAGAGCTGGTCAGCCTTTCTGCTAATGACCTTGTTTGCTTTTGCAAAGAAGAAGAAATTTGTGTTAATTTTAGACCTTTTGATAACCATCTAAGAATCTCTAACAAGTGAAAGTTGGATTTAGATATTATTGAAAGTGCAGGCTTTTTTGAGGCTTATAAAAGTTGATTATTAGGAACAACACTGATTGCTTGTTATTGTGAAGGTTGCTGCTTCAACAAGTCAAAGTAAGATGAGAAATTGTATTACAAGGTCCACAGGTGCCTTCACCTACAGTTTTCATTTAAAAAATGTTATAGTGAGTGACAGTTTTGACAGTCTAGAGACAGCGTAATGAGGTTTTGGAAGAAAATACCAATTTCACAACATACTGCTCTCCATTAGGGGTTTATCAAAGTTTGCAGAAGAAACAGAAGTTCTTCACAGTTTCCCAAGAACATAAAGTATATTTAAGTATTAAATTTTGAAGTTCTCCATGAAAAGTAAAGAAGACTAAGTTTTGCATTTATCTTCAAAGTTCTTGTCTGTCAACGAGAGGTTGCTGCTGATGGTTTCACAGAGTAAAATGAAACATAGTACATAAATGAGGACGACAGGTGAAGCCAAAGTGTTGTGTCCCAGCCTTCTTTTGGCTAAGTCAGCCCGAAAGTCAACCCAAACCTTGGAAATGTGATCTAAAAGTGATAGGGGGATGTAAACCTAAATCATTCCATCATCAACATACAGCAGAGTTTGTCTTGGTCTACACTTTTTGCTTGGATGTAAATGTGAAAAAGGCTGTCATCTGATTTGGTGTGGTAGAGAACCTCCTCTACTTCACAGAGAAAATGGTAATCTCATTACTTTTACTCATAAATGGTGATTTTTTTTAATCATTTATTTTTTTTATAAAAGAGAAGATAAGCTGTGAACACATGGGTTCATCTGTTTAGCATCTAAATGGGAAGTGAAATATGAAGTGAATATAAAGTCAGTGTCATGTGGCTCTTAATAATTCTCATCATCTTTTGATTCAGTTCCCTGACCAGAGAAGCGCTGAAACAGCTGATCTATAAAGTTATCTGAGCATGAAACATTACAGATATTACATTTTGAAATATTCAAAAAACGTCTCCTTTTATGTTTTTCATGCAAGACCATATTGATGTTTGTGAATTCTGATTAAAACTTTGTGCGATCTGGCTCTCCCTGTCCCTGGTTGAGGTGGTTTGGATGATCTGGAAAGATTGAATCGGTACAGTTTTGTAGTCAATGTGGGTCTGAAGCAACCGTTTGACCGTCCACATCCAAAACGCCTGCTCTGCCCAGCATACTGAGTGAAGCCTCAGCCTCGCACTGTCATTCTCACGCCCACTCACTTTTCATTTTTACCTCAGCCCTGACTTTCTCCCTCCCAGGTTTCAATATGCCGTCCTTCGTCCTTCATTTCTCTGAAGATTCCATTTACCTTCTCTATATATTTCACTGACACGTTTTTCAGCTCTTTTTCACCCTCTTTTTTTTGGTGTCCCCCCTCCCTCTATTCCTTTGCTGTCCCTCTCCCTCTGAAGCAATCATCCTTCTTCCTTTCCCTCTTTATTTACATGACACCGAGGTTCTCTCTGAGGCAGGTGCGGAAGGCAAAAGGCAGCCTTTTACAAAACGGTTCAGCTTTAATATCTTTCCCTTGCTTTTCATCACAACCCAGAAGCTTCACAGCAGAACTAACAGTCCTCTCGTAACCGCATTGTCCTTCTGTAAATATCATGAGCCCAGTCTCATCTTTATTTTATTACCACCTCTAACACTAAAGAACCCTGGTGTGGGCCAATAACATTTAGGCTTGGGGGTCGGTCATCACCAGTCTCATATCATCCACTCTGCCCCGCATGCCACAAAACACTGCTTATGAACCACACAGGGCGTCAAATAAAAAACTTGAGTTTACATGAATACCTCGATGTGATGCTGTTTTCTGAAATGCACTTTGTTTGGAGAAATATTTGTTTTTATGCGTTGAACAGCATTTTCAGAAACCTCTAATTTGGGCAGTACTTCTGGGTAGTGACATGTATCATTTGGCTTTTTTTATGAACTTTAGCAGTTTTATCAAAATGTGTATCGTTTGTTCCTTGGTTATTCCATTTCAAAACCAAATAATAAAAAAAAATGGTTATCTTTATTTTATTTTATTTGTTTGTTTTAAAACTAAAATGAAAATACAGGAAAACAAAAACCTTTTTTTGTTCAAAAATTGAAATGAGAAAATTGCAAAACCTTGTTTTGTTTTGTGTATTTGGTTTTTAAAAGCAGCAGCCAATTGTTTTTTTCCCCTATGCTGGAAACCCAACAAAAGCAGAAGCAGCAAAGAAGAATGATTTGGGTTTTTGAAACAGAATAACCAAAGAATGAACAATACACAGATTTAAAACACTGTACTTTAAAAAAAGTTGTTCAGTAGAATTTGTTAAAAACTGTATTTTTTGTTACACTGGGCGATACACCTACAATCACATGCTTACAACTTATTTCAATGTAGTAACTTTTAGAGTCAGCCAAACTCTCACATGGAGAGTACATCCGAAAAAGGTGGGATAGAACTTGACATGTTAAAGTGTTTGTGATTTAAGCTCTGTAAATAAAGCAGTATGTTGAAGTAACTTACAAGTAGGAGTTATCTTGGTGTTTTTGCCATATCTAGGAGCTTTCACCATCACCCTTTTAATCCACCCACCAATCAGAGACTTTATGTACAAACAGCTGACCCTCAAGATCCAGTGAGAGACACAAAGACCTCACAGCCTGCTCACACAGCAAGAAATACAAAAATACAGAAGTTCAAAAGAAAGAATAGATCTTGAATGGATTCATTCAGCTCAATCTAGTATCAGTAGATCTATGCTCGTTTTGCATATAATACTTGGATGCTTCATTAACCTGTGACAATTTTTCTCTAGATTTAACTGAGACAAATGTATTTTCAGGAAATGTAAACATTTTTGTATCTAAAATATGTTAAAAACATCAATTTACCTTTTTTTTAAATAAACTTAAAAGTAAGAAGAGAGCCATCAGAATAAACCCTCAACAATGGACAGTAGGCAGAAAATGGTCATTTTGTAGGGAACAGCCTCATTACTCATTTGTGGAGAAGTCACAGGACGACAGTATAGAGTTAATCGGGTTTTGTCCAATCATAAACAAGACTGCTGTGCTGGCTTTCCTATAATCTAAAATGTCATTTAAGACCCCATGTGTCCACCCTAAAGCTTCAGCACTCAGTGGCATCAGGTGTTCACTGCATGAGTGAGTGAGTGAGTGAGTGAGTGAGTGAGTGAGTGAGTGAGTGAGTGAGTGAGTGAGTGAGTGAGTGAGTGAGTGAGTGAGTGCTTTGGCTGGTTGTAAAACAAGGAGTGAGGCGTAGTGTTATGACAACATACTTTAAACTAGATGTGTCATCAAATAACAGCGCTTATCTCTGATATGAATTTATGTGCCATACATCACAGGATACAAATATTTCAGCTAACGAATAAAAGTCAGATAGACTTTTTTGTTTATGCCCTGTGAATATTTAAAGCTCCTTTGAGGAACCTTCCTCATCCCCCTGCTGGTTTTTGTCCTGCTCAAACCTGGTTAGTATTACCCTGATATCAAATTCTACTCAGTGTTCTTCCTATCATGTTTGCATTATTGCTGATGGTGGTTTGCTTCTGTGGGTCATAAAGAGGCATTAATATCCATTTCAATCTGCTTAAATCTATTAATTGCTTTATTAGATTAGATTAAATTAGATAAATTTAGATACAACTTTATTTTTCTGGAAAGGTTGCCTGAAGGAAATAAAAATAATAATAATAATAATATTAATCATCATCATTGGTTATTATTATTATTGTAATTATTATTATTATTATTTTATTGTTGTTGTTAAATTTATTTTTTATTAATAATATTGTTATCATTTTTTTTAAATAATTTTTATTATCATTATTATTAGGACTTTTTTATTATTACCTTTTCAGTGTTTTAGTCCTAAGCCTTCATTAAGCAAACGTTGCCACTAAAAGTGATTTTTGCAAGTTAAGTAGCATGCATTAATTTTGCATATTTTAGTTGTGTTCTATCAAATCTCTTTTTTATCTTTTTTAACATAATGTTTTAAAATGTTTGTTATTCATAGAACTGTTACACCTTATGTCAGATGGAGTATTTTGTGAAACATTCATTTTTTCTTTTCTCTTTAGGTGTTTTGACCAGGGCTGTCAGACAATAACTGTGATTTATTACATGATTGTTCAGTTACCTTGCAAATAAATCACATATCCCATCTCTCCAAAATGTATCTTAAAGGAATTTTGTTGTTGAAAGTTGTTCTCACTGGAAAGGACAAACAACTTCAATTTCAAGTTTATTATGATTATAATTAATATTTTAGTAGTAGTATTGTTTAGGAAATTATTCCTTTACATGCTGTCCATATAATCCTGCAGAATTACCTCAAAGGGACTGCATGCTGCAAAGACATGCTACAAGCAAAACATGTCACATTGTGACTGAGATTTTTGATCAGGAAATAATCAACTCTTGATAAATAGCTTTCAGTTTGTTTTTAACCTTTAAAATACAAGTGTGTTTTCCTCCTCAACATTCCCACTGGAGTGTGTTGTGGGCAGCCAGGAAGAATAAATGAAAAGATCAGTTTCACATTATAATCTAATGCCTTTCTTTCTTTTGTGCAGTGAATTTACTATGCCTCTGTAAAATCCACTATCACTCAGGCTATACTTGCAAAATAAAATGATGATTAAATGACTCAACATGACCTACAAAGGGAGTACAGTTTTATATTAGGCTGCATGAGAAATATAATGAATAAACGTGTCACCAAGATATCAAACTTCCACAGCCCAGGAAAGACAAATGCAAGAGGGGCGTGAGGAGTTATTGAGAAGTAAAATGTATTTGATAAAGTGTGCACAGTAAAAAAGTTGTGGGGATTTATGGGCCGTCTTTGGCGGCTAGACTCCAGCGTGACATCGTCATTTTTAACGGGGAGAGTAACACCATGAACAGAGCGGGAGTCTTGATACGTAAAATAGTGAAGAAAAGGGAGAGCTGAAAATCTGAATGGAAGGCAGGAAGATAAATATTAATCCCATTATTTCACGAAACAATGACCTTACAGAGGTCATTTTGAAACTTGATGGAAGGAAGATGTTGGAGAGGCTTTAGTTAGCTGATAAGCAGGATGTGCCATCATTTGTGATGTTAAATAGTAAAGTTGGGTCAAATCAGGACAGAATGATGCCAGGTTTTTATACATACATTGTTTTTTTCATCAGGGGGTCTACATAGTGAGGCATTACACATAAGCAATACAACAACAACATCTGATCTGAGCTTCTCTAGAGACTGACAAGATATTTTGTCCAACAAAGATCTAAGACACTTCTTTTCATCAGGAGAAAGTTTGGAAGAAAGCAAAAACTCCCCAAAGACCCCACATAAGCTGTTTTAAATCTGCTCCAAACAGCAGCTTCATGCACAGTGATGGATATCTTATAAACAGTGAGAAGAAAAGTCTTTGCACTCAAACGCACAGCATGGACATACGTCACATTTGTACGTGTGCAGTCTGGAGAAGTGTCTCTCAAGTTCCCTTTGTGTACTCCATTATAATCAAGCAGCCCGGTCCCTCCCCACTGTTTCCTGCTTTATAGTGTGCGTCAAGTCATCAGCTGTTTATTAATGGACT